ATTAACTTTAAATCTGTCCAAACTCTTTCTGTTTTGGGTACCCTTACTTATTTTAAGATGTTTATATAAACTCAGATTACCATGCCTTTTGCACATTTTGGGAAAGCCCTGCTGTGACGTAAAGGCTGTATACTCTGCTTTATCTGGGTTTGAGTTAAAAGAGGTTCACCTTGAAGAATTTCATTGTAACACATCTAACATGCTGCTTCTTCATCTGCCATTATGGGAAGGTTGAACAAAATCAGTTAAGGTATCAGAATGAGGAAAAATTGGACCTCTAAAAGTCTGGTTCCTCCTTAACTACAGTTTCCATATGCCTGGAGAAAAGACATTCATCTGTTCACACAATTACATGCAGGTTTAAATACTATACGTTCTGAGTGTTCACAAAAAAGACAAGAACAAAGAAAAAATAATAAAAGACAAAAGTATTGTTGGGAGGGGCTGGACAGGGGTGTGCTTCGAGGCACCTTATAAACCCGATAAAGTTTTTGTCCAGAGTAGCCAAACAGAGAAAGAACGTAGTGTTAATTAGCAAACATAGTTTATTTATGTAATCCTACCCATCTTAAAACAGGATATGTTTGTGAGGAAGAAAAAAACACACTATTTCTTTTTTTTTTTGTATATAAAGTTTTTTGAAACTGACTCCTTAAATCAAGATAAAGACTTTGAATTTATAATTGACCTTGGATTTTTCCTCTTTGCCATGTGTCCATCTTATATGAGATATGGAAAGACATTGAAGTATAATATTAATATATACTGATAAACAGAAAAAATAAAATAAAAACAGAAAAAAATCTGGATGGAACAGTTTGATGCCAGTGTACGAATACAGCTAATTCTGTTTTGTCAAATTTAATTAATTTTAATGATTTTCTTGTTTCATTCAGACGAAGCAGAAAAGTATAAAAGTTCAAATGTACATTTTCTCTTATTTATGGGAAAAAAAGATATAATTTGTTCATTTTTTAAAACTAGATGACATAGAGTTAATTCTTTTACTAGACCAATTGGAGGAAATTAAACCTGCAATCATTCAAAGTTGAAAAAAAAAACCCCCAAATCCATCCATCCATCCATCCATCCATCCATCCATCCATCCATCCATCCATCCATCCATCCATCCATCCATCCATCCATCCATCCAT